GAAGGTTGTAGTCGATATTGTCCGAAAATATGCCGACTAAGTGTGTTGTAAAAGGATGTAGCAACGTGCGAAATTTGCAAGAGGGTATCGCGCTTCATACATTCCTCATACAACACACCTAGTCGGCATATTTCGGACAATATCGACGACAACTTTCCCAAACAAGTGAAAATGTGTGAAATGCAGACTTTCGTGTCCTCGATTTGACGTCACATTATCCAGTAGAGCCATTCCTCTTTAAACTCAGTCGTAGGGCAAGATGGCGGCCGATTTTCCGTGTTTTGACTAGGCACAGAAAATTAAAGATTTAAGCAAATTGAAAAAGTTTTGCACAGAAATACTCCAAAAAATATGCTTATTTCGTTAAGCGAAAAAAAAATTTGTGGGTTTAGGTACACTTTAAAGCACGAGTCGCTTTTTGAACGATATTGCAGTTTTTGCGGTTCTTCTTTCCAAATTCCAAGAAAGGAGAGAGAGAAAGAGAGATGGAAAGCAAAAAGGAGGGTAATTGGTAAAAAAGGAGTAAAACACATTTTCCCCCGCTGGATTTGCACAAGTCTTCGGAGATTTATGATTCAGCTTTGGAAAGAAACATGCTTAAACCAAAGTAAGGCCAATGCACGAATGAGATCTTCTATTACTTCTCGAAAACGAGCCCGCCATGGTGGGTTACGAAATTTGACAGAAAATTACACTAACCCTCCAGTTCTTCTGGTACAGATTTTCCTGGGACAAGCTCTCGGATTATTTTGGTGTTGGAGTCATCTTTTCCTAGCCAGCAGCGACATGGAAACAGTACAGTATCACCCTCCTTGCTGGTAACCGTCACCTCTTCCACAAACATGGTCTTGCCGCGACCGTTCCCGTCATCTCCGATGCGAAGCTTTGTTATCTAGAAATAGAAATCGGAGAGCTTTTAGGTTTTGTAAAAAAATTTCAGATAAGACAAACGTTTATAACAAATTCAACTTTATGGCAGATATTTCTCCGGTTATCAAACACTTCATGGAAAAAGAGGACATTTTTCCCCAATTTTAAACTGTTTATCTTTTATCCTTATACTTTTTCCAAGTTCAAATAGATTCCTTGACTAATTTTCACAATTTCTCAAGAACTAAGGACTACAAGAACCTGAATTTATGATTGATTAAAAGCCTTATAACCGACCAGATTTTCTCCTGGTTGACACTCGAACCGGTAAAATCAACTCGATTAAAAGCCCTGCAGTTGGCGTTCTTTTGAAAGGAGCTTTTACAAAAACACAGAAATTCCCATAAATCGCTATAATCGCAACGTAAGAAGTAAAAGAGCAGCTAACCTCACAGGCTAGACGAAGGAAGACCTTACCTCGCCAACATCTGGACTCTTAACAGACACATTGTAAGTGTTTCCTTTAGTAAAGACATGTGACTTTGAGTAACCCTCTCGTAGCCTGATCTTGTTGGTTTCACCGTTTCTACCAACGATTTGATAGAAAGGATTTACATCAGGGTCCAGGACCTCTCCAACTTTGACGCTCACTGAATCAAGGAAGCAATTTGAAAAGACACAATTAGTTCAAGGAATGTGAAATCTAGTGAGATTTAAAACAAGACTGACTGTTAAGTTTTTGATTTAAACAGTGAGTCAAGGTTTTGAGGAACTACGTTATTATTAACCTGCTAACTGTGTTAGTTCTCCTCGCTAAACTTGCTACGGTGCGTTTAAGAGGTTGAAAGGTATAGCAAAGGCCATGTGTAACTTAACCGTAACAACACAACGAATATATGAAAGTCATATATCTGAACTGCGGTTATCGAAACGTATTTGAGCACGATCCTCGCAGTAAAGAGCTCTATTTAAGCAATAGTGAAAATCAGACCTGAATAAGATAATAAGATCAGTGTTAGTATCTGAGCAACTCTGTACGTACCCCTTCCCTCCCCTAACCTAACAACATGCAACCGGTAACAAGTTGGTAGCGATGTTTAGCTAGTAGTGGAGCAGGTGCACTTTTACTCAGATACGACTGACATTGATCCTTATATTCTACCATTGTGCCTCTAAGATTTTCTGGAAAAACATACAATTTTTAGAGTATTCCTTTCCCTAAAGGTCAACTTCTACGCTGCTACAATTTTGTGATCACGAGGTGTATCGAAACCAAACGACGGACAGGAAGAGAAAACTAATCTTTACCTGTGTACATTCCTTCTTGTCCAGGTAACGAGCCTTGCTCTAGTTAAGTAAAAGAAGACAACAACAACAACACAGTCAATGACTATACCTCTCTCCATTCCGTAAATATATAGACCAATTCACCTCTAACTATATTTTATCTAAATGACTCGTTTAAAGACAACAAATCACGGGATGGGCAAAGTACTGTTACATTCTCTCTCTCTTGCTTTTGTTTTTAACACGGAATATTACTTGTCTTTCATAGCATTACCTTAGGAAGACCCTAGTTTCTTATAGGTTGTAAAAATATTTTAAGCTCTCGAATTACTCCTTCACAAAATTTGATTGTCTTTCTGAGATGAAAATCATGCGCTACCTTAGCGCATGCTCACTAGAGCTTACAGCATTACCTGGTGTAAAATCTATCGCAATGTCTGAACTTCCCAACCAGCGGTTGCAATAAAACACATAATGCTCGTCCTTCTCGTCTACGTCAATAGTTATTTTATCCAACAGCCATCCAGGTTTAACACCTTTGTTATCCCGGCTGATACGAACAGATGTCAGCTGTATTGGATACAAGACAAAATATTTGACTCAAAAGAGCAATTTGTGGGATCCATATGTTGAGAACGGGAGACAGAATAAAATGAATCCCACTCCACGAAGGGAATCAAACCCCGTGTGACATCGTGAACGGTGACAAACTGAACACGTGACACGTGACAAACAGACAGACAGCTGCAAAATCATTGATAAAAACCGACGAAACAAGTCAAGACTTCTCTATGAGAGAAATCTGTTCCAAAAATAAGGAATTTAGGCCTCTGCTCTGTTCTAACTTGTAACTAGAAAGTCTTTTAAGTTGTCATGACAACGGTTGAAACTCTCTTAAGGGGGAGGGGAAATCAAACGCGTATGATCAGGATCACTGTGAATATTAAATCCAACAGAATGAAATGAAAAGATGTAAAACACTAATGAATAATGAAGCGTGATCCCAAAAGTGACAGGATGTGCGGCGAGGCGAGAAACGCTAACATGAAAATGGAGGGAAGAAATAAATTTGATAGTAACAGATAGAACTAAATCCGGAAAGCAAAGCAACCACAAAAACAGTCTCTGTCAATACCTTTCCAATGTCTCGTGTCCGGATCAAGAATTTGTCCATTCTTCCTTTCTCAAATCTCTTTTTATCTCCTTCCTCTCTGAGAGAGAAGTTTTGTGTTTTTCCTTTTTCTCCAAACATCTGAAAATTAACATTGGCGTCTGTGCCAGCGTCGTTTTCGTCCCCAGTCTTTATCATGATACGATAATCCACTTCTGTAAATAAAAACATGAAAAATAGAATCAGTGTATGGCTCAAACAGAATGTATCAACGCCAACAGTTTAAAACAGAGTAAAACGAGTTTACACGTAACACGCTGTTCCTTGGTATTTCCTTCCAAACTACAGTTTGATCTCTGACTCGTTCACATTTTACAGTCTTAATTTCCCTAACAACGACGAAAAATAAAAGATTAAGCAATTCAGATACTGATCATCTTATTACCTTGTGACAAATCTTTTGTTTCAGCTGCAAGAAAGATAAAAAGAAAATACGTCAGGTTTTAGTTGATCTCTTCTTATAATCATGTATAGCGTTTCTCATGCTTTTCTAGTTGTAACATAACGATTCCGTCTCTTTCCCACATTTTCTACTCTTATTTGTCTTATACTCGCAAAAAGAAAATGTCACAGAAATGTTAATTTACTTACCAGGTATCAGATCAACATTTCGCTGACTGCCCACGAGCCAGCGGTGACAAGGGAAGATGTACTGCTCGCCCTTATCCGGGACATCTATGGTCACTTCCTCTAGATACCAGTCAGGATCGCGCCCGGAATTGTCATGACTGACGCGAAGCTTCTCGATCTGATAACACAAGAAGCCGCTTTGAGATCTTGAAGAAAGTTTTACATCTAAGTAGTACTATCTTAGTGATACCTATCCTTTACAGCAACTTTAAGAAACTTGGAAAGAGGATGCACACCGCGTTAGGCATTCTCTCTACCAAGATACCCATAATAGCTGTTCTGATATACCATTAAAGTGCTTAATAAAGCATCGTAGTTGATTAACTTTACCTACGAGTGGATACCCGTCCAAATCTGACGTTCTAAGCGTCAACACTCATTCGGATCCAAGGCATAAAAAAGAAGTATATTCCTTCCCACTTTGGGATAGAAGACTTCACGAGAAAAAAGATTCTTAAAGAGCAAAGGACGGATGTTTAGCTATTAGTTTTTAACTAGCCTAAGCAAACCTTTCCAACATCCCGCGTGTCCACTTTGAATTTATCACTGTTTCCTCTTTCAAACAGTCGTAGACTCTTGTCTTCGCTGAGTAAAATAGGCTCGGTTTTACCGTTGTCTCCAAACAATTCAAACTGCACTTTGGCCGATGTGCCAGCGTTTGGTCTGTCACCAGTCTTAAATGTTACTTGATAAGTTGTATCTGAAGAGAGGGAACGAAGAAAAGGACTTTGGGTCAAAAATGAAGTTTAATACTTGTCGCGAGCGCGGGGAAGAAACTTTCCTGTATAAGGAATTAAATTGCGTTATGTTTTGATTACGAGATCGGATAAGCAAAAGAGAACTCGTACGTAAGACCAGATAATAGGCTACTTTGTGAAAAGCACACTGCATACTATGTGGAGACACAGAATACCTAGGAGTAACCTGACCTTTCAAGAACTGACATAAAAGGTGCTAAATATTGGACTACGGACTCCGCTTTAATGAGTTTTGCCTATTAGCCTAGCCCTCTATCTGTGACATTCTTGTTTTAATTCTACCTTTTAGCCGTTGGCTTCAAAAATTGGACAGCTGATGATGTAGATTTAGCCAAAGAAGTAAGTTATGGTTTTGAATCAGTGGTCACGTTTCTGAGTTGGCATCCATAGCCGGATTAGAGCACATTTGAATACAGCCATCGAATGATCAGAATACGTTTCGGAATTACAAACATGGTCCGAAGTCAATTCTGTGAATACCTTTCTAGAGGGGGTTGGAAATCATGCGGTTTCAGGAGCATTTATCCCTTACCGCATACGGTTAGTACTTACCAAGAGGTTCTTCATTTCCAAGGCCGGGCTCCACGGCTATTTTATCCTCATCCCCAGTCCAACAGTGACAAGGAAAGACCACCCCATCTCCACGTGACGCGGTCACCACAACTTCTTCAACGTATAGACCCTTGCTAGGGACACCAGTGTGGCCTGCATCTTGGCCAACTTTGACATCCACGATCTAAACCAGGCAAGGTAAGGAAATGGAGAGTGAGAATTTCGATGATACTAGAGGATGGTCCGGCGAGTGTCCGTGTGCCTGTCCGTCCGTTCGTACACCTTCTTTCTGTCTGCCTATGTGACTGTGTGTCTCCTGCCTTTTTTCCGCCTGTCTGTTTGTCAATCCGTATGTCCGCAGTCCATATGTCGTCCTTTTGATTCATTCATCCACATTTCGAAAAGGTTTGTTACATTATCCGTGCTGCTACATGTACAGTCTTTTCACTGTGCAGACTGTCTCTGTCGGTCTCTGCCTCAACCGTTTCCGTCTTAAAGTTTGTCTATGTGTCTTCTCACCTCCTATCGATCGGTCAGTGCTCTGATTATGTTCTTGCGTTGATTGATCGTTACTAAAGTAACATGAACATTCATTGTACGTAATCCCGACTTTAAATAGAGAGAACAAACGAAATCCACTTAAAACAAATTCTAAAAGCAATGGTTTGCAGATGATGTGTTCCAGTCTAACCATTTGATGAGCTACTGATCTTTGTAATATAAACAAGCGTATACAATACTGAAAGACAAGTGGTTTTAAAAAATAGTATATCCCTAAAGTGAAAACAAATAGTTAGCGTATGACAATTTATCCCTCGACCAATTCACGAGGAAAAGATCATTCTGTAGGAAGAATTTTACCCTGGGTCTGAATCCAAGATAAGCAATAGTTGAACTGATGGTTGAAAATAATGCAACGAACTACACAAGGAAGAACCGATTTTAACTCCACCCCACCATACATAGTACACAGGGGAGAGGTCACCGTTACAGTGACTATGCAATGTGGGAGAACTTACGAATACAGCAGTCATTTGTAAACCATTAGAACTCTATGCACGTCAAGGTTAGCTGTAGGTTATTTAGTGGTAGTGGAGGCCACACTGCTCAGCAAAGAGTTTTCAGTCTCAGCTAAACTGGATGCACACTCGCAACACTCGCAAGTTTTATATACTCACTCTGAATCACCTTTAACTAACAACTTTTACCTGAGTGGTGACACATTAGGAATAAAAAGGTGGAAACAATCTTAAAAGCCTAAGAGCGCGACAAATAAAAAATAATCCTCTACAAGTTATTTCCCTGGAGAATTTAGTTCCATGGGATTTCTGATCCCGAACTCACCCGTCCAATGTCTGCGACTCTTGCAACCACCTTGTAAATGCGGCCCTTCTCGAACTTATCATAAGGACCATATCCAGGTTTGATTTGAATCTGTCCACTTTCTCCCTTCTCACCTACGAGCTGGATCCACACTGGAGCATAGGGGTCGGCCACCTCACCCAGCTTGAGATGAACTACAGAAGGCGGAAATTAGTGTACCTCCTGAGGAAAACCTTCCCATTTCTACATCATAAGAACCTGACAGAGTTCTGATACCTAAATTAGACCTTAACTTCGCAAAAAATGTTCCTGAAGATTGTTTTTACGACTCACAAGATTACATTCAATTTCAATCAAACAAATCGAAATATGATTTACTAAGAAAGAGAAAACATCAAGCTGAGTTAGGCCAAAAAGATGACTGAAAAGAGAAGTGAGAAGGAGAAAATTGAAAAGGACTGGACACTAAAATTGGGCAGAGCTTTGAACTCAACAAAAATTTACGTACAGATCTGTTGCTCAAAAATTCGTTTATGTCCATTACTCTTTGCTCCTAGATATATTCAAAGAGCAACAGGAGAGAAGAACAATCTTGATAAAACTCAGTAATTTTTATTTTATAATTAATAAAGTCTCACTTTGTTTCTCGACGAATGTTAGTCAAATTTGTCAAAGCGAAATCAGCTTGGCCGATTTGACGATTTTGACAAAATTTCGCCATTTTCGTAACTGCATGCATTTCATGACATATCTTGCAACTTACTGGTATAAAGCTCTGTTCTTGTTTTTTCGTCGACTGAAAAAAAAAAAAAAAAAGGGCGATTATGAAACTTTAATTTCTATGACAAAAGTGAGGCTATATCATCAACCCCAAAAAAATTCATTCATAACAATTCAAAATTAATACAACTAGTAAATTGATGAAATCAGGATTCACATTCAAAAGGGTAAACCATAAACTACAAAACAGATATCTCAACTTACTTTAAAAACCATTCACGATGGACATAAAAGTTCTACAAATATTCTCTGCATTAAAGTTAGGTCAGAATTGGAATTAAGTAGGTAACCTTCTAAAGAAACTGTGGTGCTGCGTCGGTGAGAGTAACATGGCTTTTTAGGTTTTATCAACTGAGTTGATAATATAACTTGACGTTGATAAAACCTTAATTCCCGAATTGGAATTAACCAGGTGATTGGCATGTCACGACAAAAGAAGCATTTCGAACATACTTGGATCCAAGTTGACTTCCTCTCCCGCAATCCAGTTGTTGTACTCGAACACACAGGTCTCGTCACGTGATGGGATTTCAATGGAGAGTTTCTTTAGATACCATTCAGGGTTACGGCCGGTGTTGTCGTGGCCGACACGAAGTTTCGTCAGCTGAAATCAAACATGAACTCGTCAACTGAAAGAGTGCTATCTGTTTTCCTTACGCGTCGAGGAAGAAAAACTATTCAAAGACATCTGAAAAAAACCTGTCATGTATTTCCCTAGGATTATACACTACGCCTTTCTGTCTCTAACGAGTGAGCATAGATGACGCTACGGCGGATCACGTGACACAAAACAGAACAGCCATTTGCGAAGTCTGATTAAATGAAACTCTACGTCTATCTATGGTTTTCGCTGGTTGTTACACTGACAGCCAGTTATACATCTTAATATATACCTAAGACAAAACTAACGTTTTTGTTATTTTTGTGTTTTTCGATTCATCTATTTATATACAAGTAGAAGATTGGCTTTATATTTTCCTTGACTTTAGATCACGAAGATAAATGGAAACTTATTCCAGTATCAGTTGGATTCCGATTTCATATCTCCATTCCCTGTGCGTGGAGTTCCTGATTATTCTTCGGTGAGGTTGTCACATATTTTGCCCGCATGTGAGAGTTACATTCCTTTCCCGAGGATAAAAGTAAAACACACACCCACAACGGTCATACCAGAGGCTCGACCCTATTGTTTAACGACCACCCCACTCAATTTACCTTTCCAACATCAGCAGTTTCCACAGCAAACTTGTCAATTCTTCCGCGTTTAAACTTTGGCGCCTCTTTTTTGTCTTCACTTCGAAACTCAATCTTTTCTGTCTGTCCTTTTTCTCCAAACATCTGCACATAAACAGTAGCATCTGTGCCGGCGAAGGGAACATCCTCTGTCTCAAATGTCATGTTGTACAGAGTACCTGACAGAGATACGGTGGTGACATTCAGTGTTGGTTACCCTATGCCTTGGTAAACTTGAAATCCCTAAATAAAGGTCTCTATCACTGATGCCAAGTTGGCGCGACACAAAATCTAATTATCTGTCATCCAACAGCTCTAAACCCTTTTTTAAAAACCAAAACAGACAAATAGTTGAGCAAAAACAATTAGGAATAAAAAGGAATAGCCCACATATGAATAAAACATACATGTCAAGATTCCTAAGAGGCGACTACTATCAACAGAGTGATTTAAACAAAACTGACCGATCTCATCAGAGAAACAAGGGATAAATTCCTTTCCTTACCCCCACCCCCTCTTTTGCCACTTTTCCTTTCTTCGCTCCTCGGCACAAATCGATGTAATTGGAAACAATATTTCACGTGATTGAATAATTTGGTTACGCAACCCGGATAATAGGATTGAAATTGTAGCAATTGCCTCGTTCAAGTGAGACCATTTTTCGTGATTAAATGAATTTGTCGCACAAGTGGAATTGTAAAAGTAACTCAGTTGTTTCGTTTGCGCTGTTTTTTGGAAACCCAATCTAAATGATTCAGTAGCATGCTCTTTGTCAATAGTTAGGACCGAGGACAAAGTCTACGGTGAGTGAAATTCATATATTTCCTTACTGTCAAGCTGCGGATAAATCGTCTCCCCTGGAATCAAAACCCTGGCTGTTTTGCCGTCTCCTTCATCTTCAGCGAGCCAGCAGCGACAAGGAAAGATCACAGGATCCTCACCAGTGGATTGCACTTCGATTTCCTCAACGTAAATTCCACGCCCGCTTCCCTGATTATCACTTCCAAGAAACACTTTGTTGATCTAGAGATGCAAGGAAAATTTTCTCTTAAGTCAAATTAAGTCTTATTGATATTGGATTCTTTGTACTGCTATCATTTTTTTTTTATCTCCAAAAAGGTTCCAACATTGTCCGTGCCGTTGAACCAATGTAAAACCGCGAAATTCAAACTGGAGAGAACTGACAGCATACCATTAAAAAAAATTCACAAATACCTTTCCAATATCTTTGATATTAACTGATACTCTGTACTGCTTTCCAGCCTCAAACTTTGTCCCATCAGAAGGTGTGAGATATATCTTGCCTGACTCGCCCCTATCTCCATACAGGATCATGTACAGTTTAGCCCAGGGATCTCGTACTTCGCCCAAACGGAACAGAACTACAAAACAAGAGAGCTAAAAATAAAACAATCCTGCAGAATTGGCTCTGTTTATTTTTGCACTACGATCTGACTTGACGTGAACATATGCAGTTCAGCTGACTTGAAGACCACACTCCAAAACCCAATTCTCTCATCAATGCTATTTCCATGTTAATCATACAGACAAACTCTTAGTTTTCGGCATTAGTTGACGGACATGCCTTGTAGGTGCATCTTCCCTTGCCGACGCATTTCACTGATTTTATCTCCTTATGCCCGGTACACCCTTTCCCGCGCCTTCTAAAGGTAAAATCTCGTCTTTCATTTTCCAAAAAATTACACATTTTCCCACGCTTAAATTCACAGTATATGATATCCTGTTTTTCCCGCGCTTTTCGCAGGTTACTCGATTTGAACTTACTGTCGTAGGTCGGTTGAATAGTTTCTCCGGGTTTCAGGACTCGTACAACCAATCCATCTCCCTCGTCTTCTGCCAACCAACAGCGGCTCGGGAAAACAAGAGGTTCTTCGTTAGGTGCCCCCACTTCCACTTCCTCTACGAAAACACCATGGCCGGGTCCACGACTTTCATTTCCAAGACTAATTTTCTCAACCTAATCATACAAGAAAGTTCGTAAACTTCGCTGTAAACACTTCAGAAAAAGTAACAATCAAATCATAATAAAAATTAGAAGGCAGATTTGTGATAAATTTGATGAAGGGCAAAGCAGAAATTCAAGGATTAAGTTCATCTTCCTATTGCAAATATCACACTTTTCGTAAGGATTCTTACAGATGATTGTAAAAATACGGATAGCTGAATTGTACAAATAGTTCAGTCTAACCAAACCCAAATACGCTAACGATCCCATCATGCAACATGCAATAACAACACCTTTTGTCTTGTAACCTATGGATAACAAATAAGGTTGGCAACTCACCGGTCCGATATCTCTGATATTTGCAGACACAGTGTACAGCCTTCCTGGTTCAAAATTTTTGCCGTCAGATGGTGCGAGATAAATTTTTCCTGAATCGCCTTTCTTTCCATGAATAATCATGTACAACTTGGCGCGGGGATCCATCACTTCCCCAAGACGAAAATTAACTGTTGAAAAATCACAACAGATATGCAGCATTAGCATGGGATCCAGAATTACACCAATTTTCCATCGAGTTTCAAAAGTAATTCCGAACTGAGTTAGTTTTCTGTCTACACTCTGTGATTGGTCGAAAAAGCTCGCATCACGTTCCCAGTCAAGCAGTTATCTCCGTTTCCCCGCACTTCAACCTGCAGTTTACATATCATTCACGGCGAATTCTCTTTCATGCGTTTTTTTTTTTAGCACCTTTAGTCTGGGAGGCCATTGTCACATATTTGGTTTTAGTTCAAAACTCTCCAATGAAAAACGCCTCAATTTTGTACTTGTGAAACTCCGTTGAAAGTTCATTTTAAACCTTGAGGTTGCAAAATTATGCATTAAAGGCCCTGTTTAGTTCTCTTCTCTTTTCCGTACCGTTGGTTTTGCGCTGTGATTTGGTGACATTCAGGAATCTTAGAAAAATAACTGGCATAGAGAAATATAAGCCGGTTTTTTAAACAAAGTTTACCGACCGTGCAGCAAAATTAAATTCTCAGCCATTTCCAATTTAGTCAAGCGTTTCATCTTAACGCTGATTTTTATGACCAGTATCCCGAAGCCTTAAAGACGAATGTAATTCGTTTTCAAGAGGCTTGGGCAGAAAAAAAAAATTGGTTTTAAACAATCCAGTGAAAACGTAGCACAAAAAAACCGTAGCGTGCAAATCACTCTCTAAATGGGAAACAACCTTTTAGAGGATACGAGGTACAATTAATTGACTGGCCCACATCTACTTACTGTCGTACGGTTGTGTCAATGATTCACCAGGTTCTATCACACGAGCTGTTTTACCATCATCTTCGTTTTCAGCGAGCCAGCAGCGACAAGGGAAAATCACTTTGGGAGCATCAGGAGCTGTGACTTCGATTTCCTCCACGAAAACTCCTTTGTTACGACCCTTGCTGTCGTGGCCAATGTGGACTTTTTGCACCTATGTAAAAAGGAAAAATAAAAAGTGAACCGTGTAAAGGAGTTTTAAACAGATTTTCCTTCATCGTTATTTTATAGGCAGCGGTAATTTTGGGGCTTCCGCTTTTGTGAAAGTCGCTCTTTTCGATTTCTGTTCCCTCACATTTTAAAGGTAAGTATCAATTAAGAGAGTATCATTTCAATTCAACATCAAATTCTTAGAGCTACATGTACATGTATCACATAAATGTAAAGATTTAAGAAACGTATGACAGAAAGAACGGAAAAATTAAATTCTGTTCGAAAAAAAATAGTTCTTCGATTGAACTTTTTTACAAGGCAACGTAACATGCAGTTAATTAGTCCCATGTCTAAAAAGTTTCCTTTGCATATCGCACTTGCAACTATATAAAACACGAGACAACAACATTAAAACTTACATTGCCGATATCTTTAATGTTGACAGACACTTTGTAGAACTTATCAGGCTCAAACTTGGATCCATCAGGCAAAAGATAAATCTTTCCGGACTCGCCTTTGTCGCCATACAGTACCATGTACAGCTTGGTGTTAGGGTCTAGGACTTCTCCCAGGCGAAACCCAACTATAAAGACAAAAGCAAAGGACATACATGACGTAACGTTACGATCGTGTGACAAACGGTTCACCGGTTCTATGTGCAGCACATTAGTCCACAAGTGTTTAACACAAGTTTCGCAATGAGTGCATTCGTAAAGGACACTTTACCTACATGTAAGCTACTTGAGGTGTAAGCATGTGTTATATTTCTAGAAGACCAAAAGAGCAGAAAGAAATTCTGTTACATACAGAGTAACATCGTCCAAAGGAGCTAATATAACAAGTCATGAAACACGGAGTTTATAAAAGAAATAAAGTGTAAAAACTAGGGTTTGACAACACGCTCTGATATACGCGTGCTGCCTGGTCTATATGAGGTTGACGGAAGCAATAAAAAGATAAAGTAGCAGATGTCCTGTATCTACTAAACGAAACGGGTAAGAATTGAGATTTTAAAAAACCCATTTCTACGCTTGGAGAATACCACCGGACATGGTTCGCTCTTTTTTGTCTAAAACATATTAAAACAAAATAATTAAACCACAAAGTCGTACGGAATTTTTCCTTACTATCGTATTGTGAGGTCAAAGACTGCCCAGGAACTAAAACCCGGGTAGTTTGCCCATCATCTTCATCTTCGGCTAGCCAGCAACGAGAAGGAAACATCACAGGAGGACCACCAGGGGCTGTGACCTCTACTTCTTCCACAAACACACCCTGGTTAGGGGACACACCCTCGCAACCCATGCTGATGTTATGGACCTGTGATCGGAAGGCACATAAATGAGGCGATACTACTCGGTAATACTTGTCGTTAGTCGTTATTAAGTTCTCTTCTGCCACTACTGAACTATCGTTTTCCTGAAAAGTTTTACATTCTAAGAAAGTGCCAGTCAAAGACTGACCAAGACGACAAAAGAGATAAAAATGACAACAAAGTGGGCAGAAGAGAAAGACGAAACAACACTGTCGAACGATATGAAGGAGCTAACATACGGTAAGCAAAAACGTAAACATTGTACCAAGATGCAAATAAAGTAGTGGTTAGTATGGAAGCAATTTGCCTCAAGAGTGGCAAGAAATGGTACGAACCTCTTCCAAATACAACTTTACCTCTTCACTCTTTTTTACGAAAAAGTATAAATGAGTATAAATGTAACTCTACCCCTACCAACCCCCCCCCCCCATCCATCCCTTGTAATATGCGTAAGTACATGTAACTCACCTTTCCTACGTCAGTGGTGGTAACAGTAACTGTGTACAGCCTTCCCGGTTCCAGTCTTCCTCCTTCAGGTGTCAGGTAAATCTTCTCTGAGTCTCCCTTGTCTCCGTGAATGACCATAAACAGCTTGGTATAGGGATCCAGGACTTCGCCGAGTCTGAACGAAACTGTTGATCGAATCGCGAAAAAAAAAAAAAAAAGATAAAATTGGCATGTGCATTCACGACTGCATGTAAGATCATTCCTGCACTTTCTTTCGGAATTCACCGAGCTGCCATGCTCTCATAAGTAAATGATCACATCAGAAATAGGAAACAGTGAATGAGATCAAAATAATTTCCGAATGTTAGAGACCCATATGTCAGAATTGGTTGGCGAAGACCAGTCCATTTAAAATTTAAAAGAAGTTTCAGAGAAACATAAGGAGACACCTGGGATAACTATCCATTCGTTTTCAAAATAAAAGGTGTGGTGCGTCCAACCTAACAATTAGTGACCTAGTTTCTGTACACCACGATGTGCCCATACCTAGATATTCAGCCATCTCAGGCTCTGGTTTAGGCGCTAAAAATAAAGTTGAAAAAAATCGGAAATCAGTGGCTGCAACTTCAATTTGTTACTGTACATGTACTGGAACCGGTGCCATGCGTAAAATGAAAACCAATAAGGGGCAGAGCTAGTGGAGCAATATTTTAAAATGATCAAAAATGATCAACAATAAAAGTCAGATCGATTTTGAATTTGAAATGTTGGTGTTTGTGTGGCGAGAAAAAAAAAAAAAACAGAAAAACTGGACAAAAACATCAGAAGGAGAGAGCCACGATTTTTCAAGGTACATGTAACCCTCACCTCCCTTATCTGAGCATGCCAAGTCCCACCATACGAACAAACCCACAAGTCGTGCTCAGAGCCCCCTACATATCAGAGACAGGGGAGAAACACTCCCACCCTCCCACAATCCGCTGCGCCATCCTTGCCCTTCACACGTTTCACATAACAAGACGCCATGAAAAGTGACGAAGCAGTTTTGAGCAAGGAGACATGGGAAAAAAATCAGTGGGCGCGATAAAATTTTCTAGACTGTAACTGCAACTCTCAGTCGAGTCTAGCTTATTCTCAACGCGTTCACATTGCCCAAAACATCTAAAAACCAAAGGCACCTACCGGGGGCAGACTGTTGGGGAACCTCTTCAACAGTAATTTTCTCTTCTGTGATGGCATTCTCATCAACTGCAAGAAAAGGGTTATGTTGCATGTTTCAAATACAACTAAACGTACCTATGACAACTTCATTACATAGCTCTTGAAGTGTTGTATAGCCAATCGAAAGGAAGAACGTATTAAGCTAGCGAATTTAAGCTAAGGAAAATGATTAAACCGCAACAAATAAGACTTACAACGGTGAGAACCACCCCCACCCACCCCTCCCCAATTACCTCTCTCCCTTCCCTCCTTTTCCTTTCACGAATGTAAGTACCAACTAGTTTAGTATAAATGACCCAGACTTGTTTTCTATTCTAAGAAAGTCAAATTTTATTTTTCTCTCTTACCCGGGTAGACTTCAACTTCAACTCGTCTCTCCTCGTCACCAGTCAGCCAGCGGTTGCAAGGAAACATGTATTTTTCGTCCCGGGAAGGAATTTCGATCTTCAGGTATTCTAAATACCACTCCGGGTTAGGACCCGTGTTATCATGACTGATGCGAATCCTCTCAACCTAAACGGGATTAAGGTCATAACTCAGATGAACAGGAATGGAACCTGAGGAAAAAAAAAAGGTAAAACCTAGATTCACTCACTTTCCCCACGTCCATCGTCTGTACAGTGAACCTGTCTGTCCGTCCTCGATCAAATCTCTTTATGGTTTTTCCAGATTCTTGCCGTAACATGATCTTTTCCGTTTGACCTTTGTCTCCAAACAGCTGCAGTGTTACATTAGCATCAGTGCCCGCATACGGCATGTCGCCCGTCTTGAATGTTAAGCTGTAAGCAACATCTGGAACAAAAAACAAAATCCCACCCGTAAATGTCAACTATACTCGCTCAAACCCACTAAGCTATGGTAAAGAGAAGCCCTCCCCCCAGCTACTCCCTACCCCTCGTCCCCGCTATTCCCCACTTCAACACAATACCGAGGATCCATAATTATTCCCATAATTTCCGAACAATTAATTTCTCAAAGTTCATTTCAAACATATCTTGTGCATTCTCTCTCTCTTCCCCACCCCCTCCCCTTTGCCCTATATTTTAGTCCACCCACAGAACTTACTTTCAGGTCTCTTTACAGCTTTTCCAGGAAGCAGTTCCCTCTCAGTCTTACTGTCCCACACATCTTCAGCCAGCCAACATGCACATGGGAACATCATCGGGGGATCATTGTCTGTGGGAACCACCTTGACACTTTCGACAAACAGTCCTTTGCCATACCCGCGGCTGTCCTGTCCAAGGCGAATCTTCTCAATCTAGGGTGCCAAACATGGGGAAAACTTACTTTTGCACTTCTTTATTGATTTTGTTCAGACAAGTAACAATAAAAGTCAGAGGACAAGGAATAATTTGTACACAGTCACGTAGCCTAAAAGGTTAATTTGTATCTAACTACTCAGACCCTAAACCTTTCTCCCTCCTTTTAAAATAAAAAAAAGTCAAAGTTTCACAAAATGTTTTTGCCCAAAAACACGAAGTGCATTTGATACAAAAGTGACTTTCCTCTTCCACTTCTATAACCCAAAAAGTTCTTGAAGCAGCATGTATTAACAGAGCTTTTCAGTAACATGTACTGAGTTGGAAAGTCACATCACTGAAAATCAGTGCATTTTAGGCTGCTATCGGTCATCGCTGAAACATGTGCTGTTCACAGAGTTCAAAAGTTCAAGTTCGTAATTTGAGATTGAAGGATGTCTACTACATTAACAATACCATGGCATCATGAAAGAAAATCACAATTTCGGCTCCAAACATAAGACTTTTTGAAAGGCATGGTTATGTTATTAAAAAGGCTAAGACTAAGCTACATGTATTGGCGAACTCCATAAATAAAGCATTCCTCGAACCTCTTGAAGAGTATCGTCTGTTGTTCCCCATTACTCGTTTGGCACTAGAAAAAAATCTCCCGGAGTTCCTAGAAGTATCTGAAGAACGTGTTTGGAAAACACTATCAAAACTTAATCCATTTAAATCATGTGGTCCTGACAGGATTCCTAATTGGTTTCTGCGCGAATACGCCGATCTTATTGCTTTTCCTGTATGCAAAATTCACAACGCATCGTTTAAAGAGCAACGCCTACCTCTTTCATGGAAATTGGCTGATGTAACCCCGCTTCCTAAGAAGAAACCCGTGCAAATCCTAAAGAAAGAACTTAGACCCATCTCACTCACTCCATGTATCTCGAAGGTGGCAGAGGAGTTCGTGGTACGCGATTACATCATGCCTGCCGTTCTTGATAATCTCGATATGAATCAGTATGGCGCAGTACCAAGGTCTTCCACCACCTTCGCTTTACTGGACATGCTTCATGTTTGGTCTGAGGGCACCGACGGGAATGGTGCTACTATAAGAACTATTTTGTA